CCCTCCCAGGCTCGCGTGGCTCCGAGACGGCATTGCCGCTGCCTCTGCAGCCCCCGGCGCCGGGAGATACTGCGGTTCCACGCCTCCCACTAGGTCCAACTCAGCCGCTGTCTGCAGGAGAAGGCCGGCTGCTCTCAGCGCTGGTTTCCAGAGGTTCTCAGGCGACACCAGGCAAATGCCGGAGCACTATCCTAACAAACGGGCCACGGACTGCGCGCGATCTTTCCTACCTCTTCTTTGTCTTGTATTCACCCCTTACATACACACACACACACACACACACACTCACAAGTATTACACTACCACAATTTTCGGGTGACCAGTCGAGAGCTTAGAGCTTCCTGCGACTGAGGCGGTTCCCAGCTGATGGGAGATACCTGGAGAGGGATTTCGCCTGCAAGCCGACATGTGCGACCGATTAAAATGCAAACCTATTAGCAGAATAAGTCTGTAAATAGTGAGGAACGGATAATTTCAGAATTCATCCTGCAAATGTTATTATCCGCTAAACGGTTCTTTCTAAATTAAGGTGATTGTCATAAAGTGGGGCGTCTGGGTATTTGTAAGAAATACTTTGGTGCAAAAATCCATTGGAAGTTATGTTTCATTGAAATGCCAGGTTTTACGAATATCGCGAAGGCCGAGCGCCCTTGCTTCGTCTGCTCTGCAACGCGAAGCGAATGAGCTGCAGGAAGAGTGTGTTTGGTGATATAGTGCAAATAGAAATTTACGAATGACACAGTGGAATACAAACTTATTACCGTGTTAGTAGACTTCCCGCCAGAAATTTGATGCCTGTTTATCGCGTGCCTTCTATTCTTCGCGGCTGTAACATAGTGCAACTACCTTAGCAACATTGAGTTGCCAATTGTCGACTTCATCTTGTTTTAACCCAATGCATGCTTCGAAAATGTTCCTATTTCGAACTTATTCCTCTCATTTGGGATAATATAAATGTTCTCAGTTTTTATTAGCCCATTTTGGAAAACGTAAATATTGGCAGTATATATTAGTAATATAAAAATAAAACGGTTTCATCCTTGGCCATTTTTCGTCTTCTAAATATCTCTCGTTAATGAGTCGACGATCGGTGAAATCATTCCCATATGTATTTCCCACCCTAAGAGCCTTGACCCTACCTCACTGATTAACCCCGCTGACACTCAAAAGCCAATCGGACCGAGAAGTCTTGACTCTGACTCGAAAGCCCCCGACGGAGCTGGAACGTTGTTCCTAAAGCCGGTCATTTACCGCAAATTCTCTCTCGTTCTCGTAAGCGAGAAAGGCTGATCGAGAGTGGAGCCCATGAGAATCTCCAACAAGGCCACTCGATAATCACGAAGTCAGAGCCGTGAAACGGAGGGGCGTGTCAACAGTCTTCGCACTCATCAGCACTGGCTCGTTCGAGTGGCATTGGACGTTACGTCCGGGTGCAAAAGTGACGTAATTCGGAGAGGAGGAGGAGAATTCTAGCGGCTGACTGCTCTGAAGGGGAGTTTCCCGTGGTTTCTCCGATCAACACCAGGCGAATGCCTAACAAACGGGCAAAAATTCGCGCACGACCTACGACCTTTCTTCACTCTTCCTGGTCCTTTCATCATTCCTTATTTACATCCATTGCACATGCCGGGAGACCGGTCGGGAGTTCAGAGCTTGTTGCGGCTGGGGCTGTGGCCCGTTAATGGGAGATACCTCATTAGGGAAAAACCGCGCTAGCCGACGCGGATCCCACCATCCTGCGGGGGAAGATCACCACTTCCCACGAAAAAAAACATGCACTACACGTACGGGACCAATGACCTTTGCCGTTGACGTGCCCGTAATCACTAACAATCAATCACTCCCAGACCTCACAGAACGTGGCTCCTGCTAACCACTGCGCAAAGTACGAACATTACTCTACTCAATTTGATAAACATTTGCGATTTAATCAAATTTGATTTTCAAATTTAACGCCTCACATAATTTACTTTTTCATTTCCCTTCGGTCTTTCTGCAATTCCCTTTTTCATTTCTGCCATTCTAATTAGCTAATCCGATGAACAGCACTTACTTATTCACAACAAACAATAAATTGACATTCAAAGATCCCATCACGTTCCTCCTACTGCAGTTACAATTATTACGAATAATGAAGTTAAAAATTTGCGAACATATCTAAAACACATCGAGCACGAATTAAGAAACTTCAGACAATGATCAAGATAATTTATTATTAGATAAATTATATTTCAAATTTTTACATTTTATCGGCATGTTGAAATGAAGGTCCAAAACAATGGTAATCAAGAGGTAATCAAACCACAAAAATAATTGGGTAGGTTTTTATATAATATTTATACAACAAGTGGTTTTTGTTTAATTTGTGCTTGAAATTTATGAAATGAACTAAAAAAATTCTTAAATGCCACTTCAAATATACTCTTGAATTTTGTTTTCGCGGATAGAATAAGAAACGATTAAAAGAATAGCGAAGGAACTTTTTTGTTGAATTCTCCATATATTCGAAAATTGCAAGAACTTTTGATTTAAAACTACAAAACTGAAGATAGATATTTTTGTCTTAAACAAATCTAGTATAATTTTATAAAAATGAAGGTTTCTTGTTTCGTGTTTAATTCTCTGTCGTACCATTCAGATGATTGCGATAAATATATTGCTTGCACTTGGCGGAAAAATAAATACATAGTACAATTATTGTAACTCCACTAGATGGCACTGCTGCACAAGATGGCGCATCAGTTAGATGCCAAGTTAAATGCAATTCCCAATCCACCTGAGCTAGGTGTTCCCTTTGACGTGGGGCGACGTCGAGAAAGACAGAAGGAGCGGGCGGCGTAAGATGGAGAGAAGAGAGGGAAAAAGAAAAGGCAGAGAAAAAAGAGAGGGAAAATAAATGAGAGGGAAAGAGAGGCAGGGAGTGTGAAAAATAGAGCAAGAGGAACACGGAAAGAGAGATAAAGACAGAGAAAGGGAAAGAGCAAGAGGGACAGAGAAAGAGAGAGAATGAGAGGAAGAGGGAAGGAGAGAGAAAGAGGAAAAGACAGAGAAAGTGAGAGGGAAAGAGTTAGAGAGAGGGAAAGAGAAAGTGAGGAGAGGGGGATAAATGGAGGGAAAAAGAGAGGGGAAAAGAAAGATTGGACCAGAAACCGGGGGAAAGAGAGGGAACAAAAGAGAGAGAAAGGGAAAGGGGAAAGAAAGAGTGGGGAAAAGGAGATAGAAACAATTTCTGACGGGTTCTTTGAGATGTATTAAAGAACACAGTAACGTTATTTTAATGATGAAAAAAAGAAAAGTTAAGTCTAAAACTAAACATTATTGACTCTAAAATACTTGTATAATAAAGTGGACAAAATAGATTAAATACTATCCTTTATAAATGAAGAGCCAAAGAAACTGGTACACCTGCCTAAAATCGTGTATTGTCCCCGCGAGCACGCAGAAGTGCCGAAACAGGACATAGAATGGACTCAACTAATGTCTGAAGGAGTGTTGGAGGTAATTTGACACCACGAATCCTGCAGGCTGTTCATAAACTCCTAAGAGTACCAGGGGGTGCATATCTCATGTTGCAAGGCATCCCGGATATGCTCAATAATGTTCATGCCTGGGAATTTTGTGGTCAGTGGAAGTGTTTAAATTCAGAAGAGTGTTCCTGTAGTCACTCTGTAGCAATTATAGACGTGTGGGCTGTCGCATTGTCCTGCTGGAATTGTCTAAGTCCGTCAGGATGTACAATGGACATGAATGAGGACATGAATGGGTGCGGATGAGCTGACAGGATGCTTACGTACGTTTCACCTGTCAGAGTCATATCTAGCCGCCTCAGGGGTCAAATTTCACTCCAACTGCACACGCTCCATACCATCACAGAGCCTCCACCACCTTGGACAGTCCTCTGTTGACATGCAGGACCCATGAATCCAAGAGGCTGTCGCCATATTCGCAAAGGTTCATCCGCACGGAACAATGTGAAACGAGACTCGTCAGACCAGGCAATGTATTTCCAGTCATCAACAATCCAATTCCGGTGTCGAAGGATGCTTAGGAGTAAAGCTTTGTGACGGCTCCGAAACCCGATATCGATAATGTCTCGTTGAATGGTTCGCACGCTGATATTTGTTGATGGCCCAGCATTGAAATTTACAGCAATTTGCGGAAGGATTACACATCTGTCACGTGTAATGATTCTCCTCAGTCGTCTTCAGTGTCATTCTTGCACAATCTTTTTGCGGTCGCAGCGATACCGGAGATATGATGTTTTACCGGATTCCCGATATTCACGGTACACTCGTGCAATGGTTTTACAGGAAAATCCAAATTTCATCGCGACCTCGGAGATGCTATGCCCCATCTCTCTTGCGTCGGCTATAACGTTCAAACTCACTCAATAGTTCAATAGTGATAGCCTGCCAAAGTAGCAGCAGTGACCGATGTCTGTCTGTTTCTGGCTTTTTCTCTATCTCTATCTGCCCCTGTCTTTGCCAGACTCTTG